ATAGTTGAAAATATTCTTAATTATCATTCCAAATTAGGAGGCTCAAGATCACAGGAGACACAAATAGTCATTCCATAAATTGTATGAACTAACTGGTGCGGTTATACCCTGCATCGGCAGAGAAACAGAGAGATATAAACACAGTCACTGTTAAATAATATTTTTCTTGAATCTTGTCAACAGTAACCATTCTGATGCAAGATTACAGACCTGAAACATTAACTTTTTTCGCCTTCCACAGATGCCGTCTAACCTGCTGAGTATTGCTAGCATTTTGTTTTTATTTTCAAACAACATAACTGCCTAAACAGGCAGTATCCTTTCCATTATTTAGGTTAAAACACCAACAAAACATGTTAGGAGTCTTCAATTGACAAAAGGGCATGGAGCCAAACAAACAGTTATTGACTAAAAAATAAAAAGGACATATTTAATGCAAATAGTTCTGAGGGTCCCCCGACTTTGTTTCAAACCAGCAACTGTGCTGCTTCCACCTTCAGCAAAGTTCTCATTTGAGTGTCCTCTGGAAATCTCTTCCCAACACAAAGAACAGATGAATTTCTAAAATCGTGGTGCACAGTTTATAGAATTACTGTCATCTGTTTCAAAATGGCAGATAGTTTCCACTTTTAATCACTCAAGACTACCCTTCACTCCATCCAACTTAATTTCAAAATACTTTTGAATCTCTGTACCAACAGGAGCAGTCACACAAAATTTCCTAAAACGGGAAAGATGATAGTCTTCTTTTCTATTCATGGCTGGTCTTTTACACTTCCGAGTAAACCATTTGACAATTTCTCACCGGTTTGCCATTTCCATTCCTTCACTCGCCCAGACTTTCATCCCTTCAATCTATCAGGAGTGCTTGCCAATTCACATGGTTCTTGCCCTCAGTTTCCATCATCTCTTCAGTCATTTTCTCAAGCTCCCCGTTACACAAGGGTCACGGGAGGAAAGGGAAGGTTGGACTTGATGTTGACAACCTTTTCACATTCCACACTGTCAACTGATCATAGATCACAACTAAACTCATCCCAAAAGACACTGGGCTTATCTTTCAAATTGACTTTCATGTTACTAATCAAGAGGCAATAATCAAGCAAAATCAAATTTGAATTGAATGCATGAGTGAGTCAAAACGCTAAACAGTATAAAGTAGTAATAGGCTTGGTGTAAAAAAAGTGTGATAAGTGTACAGGATGGTTATAAACAAAAAGCGTGGAGGATTTCAAATCTCTGCATGACTCAATTCAAGGCAACACGAAAAGAATAATTTTTGCCTTGCTTACTATCAAGCAAAGCAAAGCATGTCAACAGAGGTGGTCACATTTCTTTCACCTCATGAAAGAGATGAGCATGATTTCAAGGTCAGTTGCACATTTTGCTTCTTAGTCAATATTTTCCAGCAGAAACGATCTTCAAGTAATTTACACCAGTATCTCGGGATAATTTTAACATTGTGAATAATGATGTATAGACAAGTATAATCTGATGCATTAATTCCAACATGAAATACTGTATACATTTGAACTGTGTAATGCTGGAATGATCATACAATTAAATGCACAAATGGAACAATTTGTCTAGCCACCCCACACTTCTACGAAAAAATATATACTTGCCTCTTTTGCTCACTACAAACAGCCAAGAATCAAACTACTTCTTGTACAATTCCAGAACCTCTGGCTCCACTGCTCAACCCAGGATTCCATTTTGGAGTATTCATTCACTCAAATGTATGACTACATCTTTCTTTACATTGTCTTCCTAACTGGCACCACGTGGGTTTACTAGAATCATCTCAACTATCTATTTCTTTGACCTCATTACGAAACATGCATAAAGACTTAAATCCTGTTCACCAAATAGTCTAAATTTCCAAAATCAAGAGGTTGGGAGAGAAGAATTCCTCCTACTGGCATATCTAGTATCAAAGGGTGATATTTGCCTTCCACAGAGATGCTTTTCCCTCTTTTGAGCTTCGTTATCCAAAATCGAAAGACAAATATTTGCTGGAGCCTTCCAAAGTTACAAAACAGCTGGAGTGATGGCTTCACCATCAATGCTCTTCTGACCCAGGAAGATAAAGTAGTCTTTCAAGCATATGTGAAGGGCTGCTTTAAAAAAGTTGCTCAGGAAGTATGAACTTCAACAGCTGCCCATAAGAAGATAGTGGTGAGCAACCTTCATGAACCTCTGCAGTCCATTTGGCACAGGGACACCCCCACAGGTGCAACAGAGAGGGAATTCCAGGATAGTCACATTAATCAGTGTGAAACACAAAGAATCTTGTCCAGCTTCATCTCCAAGCTACTACGACACCATTTGCTATTTGGTGAAAATTTTTTTTTTTTTTTTTTTTTTTAAAAAAACTTCAGGTGTTTGATCAATTTTGTAGTGAGATCTGCAGATGTTGAAACTGCCCATCCTTTTTAACTCCTTGGCCACTTCATCTACATCACCCACCCTTCCAAAAAACAATAAGGATAGAATCCATGGTGGAAAGAAAAAAGAAATTTGGTAAACGATTCTTACTATATAATGCAATTTGAGAGCCACCTATTCAATTTAGCAGCTACTAGTGCAATATACTTTTATATGCCACAATTAGAAACATTTTGAACTATACTGAAACATCAGTCACATAAAAATACCTGTTACAGAAGCGAAAGGGATGCTGAAGGAATGAACCAAGATCACATTGCAAACTTAGTTTCCATTTTCTATTGTTACATTAATAGAAAATCTTCTAATTTCGGTCAAAGAAGGGGAAGTGTGCAAGCCTAAGGGCCCCCCCTTTCACAGACAGGTGAAACAAAGATGCTACCTGTAAAGGCCTATTGTATAGGCCTGCCCCTTTCTACATGCCAGCTCTACCCTTGCTCCGAGTTAATAGGTTCTTCAGGAGTTCAAGAACTTCGGTGACATTAAAACGTAGTAACGACACTGAGGTGTTTTCAGACAGCAAATCAGTGAAATCAATTTTTCACAGCGTTAAATAAGTAACTAGCATATACACAAGGGATTGGGTAGAAATCAAAATATTACACTTTTAAAATATTTGAAAAAAATATATACTTTTCAAGGAGGAATAACATTCTCACAAACTTGATTTTCCACAGGGAAATCGGAGGTTGTTCATTAGTAACTACCAACAATAAAAATCCAGAGCACCTCTCTTAACAATATTAAAATGCTTTTACAGCAAAGCAGATTTTCAACAGTTGTGATTTTTACTGGTTTGTAGACTTGCAGATGGGTGGGGGATTGGGAGTGGCACAACAGCACTCCCTATGGGAAAGCATAGAGCCGTTAAGGAGCATCTCAAAGGTTTCTATGTTTAACTGAGCATGTGTGGCCTCCAGGAGTTGTCAGTGAGTCAGAGTCACACAGCGTGGAAACAGGCCCTTCGGTCCAACTAGTGCATGCCAAACATGATCCCAAACTAAACTAGTCCCACCTGTCTACTCCTGACGCATATTCCTCCAAACCTTTCCTATTCGTGTATCTATTCAAATGGCTTTCGAACATTGTAATTGTACACACATCCACCACATCCTCACCAAGTTCATTTCACACGCAAACCATGCTGTATAAAAAAATTTGGCCTCATGTCTTTTTTAAAATCTCTCCTCTCACCTTCCAATGTGTCCCCTAGTCTTGAAGTCGCCGATCCTAGGGGGAAATATAACTACCATTAACTCCATCTGTATCCCTCATTATCTTAAGAACTTCAATCACGTTGCCTCTCAACCTTCTACGCTCCAGTTAACAAAGTCCCAGCCTTTATTTATTATCAAACCTTCCATACCTGGCAACATCCTCCTGAACCCTCTCCAGCTTGATAATATCCTTTTATATAACAGGACGACCAGAATCGGACACAGTATTCCAGAAGAATTCTCACCGACATCCTGTACAACCTCAACGTGACTTCCCAACTCTGATACCCAAACTCTGAACAATGAAGGCAAGCGCGCCAAACACCTTGTTAGCCATTCTGTCTATATGTGACACAAGCTTCAAAGAATTATGTACCTGAACTCCTTTAAACTATTTCTCTTGTTGCAAAAGCATCTATATTGTTGATAGGTGACCTGGATTTTTATTGTTGATAGTTACTATTGAACATCCTCACTTTCCTGAGGAAAATCAAATTTGTGAAGTGTTATTTATCTATGAAAAGTACATGTTCCACAACACGCCCCAAAGCCCTACCATTAATTGTATAAGCCCTAATGTTGTTTTCTGTACTGAAGTGCAACACCTCATGTATCCAGATTGAACTCCATCTTCCATTTTTCAGCCCATTGACCCATTTGATCAAGATCCCTTTGTAATCTTAGAAAACCTTCTTCACGGTCTACTATGCTGCCAATTTTGCTGTCATCCGCAAACTTACTAACCATGCCTTCTATATTCTCACCCAAATCATTTATATAAATGACAAACAAAAGAGGATCCAGAAACGATCTCTGTGGAACACCGCTGGTGACAGGCCTCCAGTCCAAAAAGCAACCCTCCACCATCGCTTTCCATCTCCTGCCGTTAAGCCAATTATGTATCCAACTGGCACACTCACCCTGCATCCCATGTGACTAACTTTACTATTTAAATCTACCATGTGGAATCTTGTCAAAAGCTTTAATAAAATCTAAATAATCATCTATTGCTCTGCTGTCATCAGTCTGAGCCATGACAGAGAAGACTGACAGACAGAGCATTTTTGGTGCTGACATATTCAAAATTTTGGGTTGCTTCAGATACATCAACACTAGAATATTGGAAATCTCAAAAATGGGAGAAAAACAGGGTGGCCAGCCAATGTCTGAAAGGGAAAAATGCAACATTTGACTGTGCTCATTCCTCAGAGCTTCTCAAAAATGGCCTGTCACGCATATCTAATCCAAGATTATTTGTTCTCTGGAAAGAAAGACAATATTTAATATTGTACTGTACAGTAATCCAAAGATTTTTGCACTGTAGAAGATCGTTACCTGTTTGGTTTTTGTTTTGCTGTAGGTATCTAAAATTGGCTTCTTCCTCTCCTTGACAGCTGATTTTGAAAAGTAATTTTCCAGTTCCTGGATATTAATGGAAGGCTCTTCTAGTGCTGCCCAAATCGGCAATGTTTCCGTTTCCCTTTAGAAAAAGAAACATTTGCTTTAGGTCATGAATGTTCTTAAAATCAAAAAGCATTTTTATTTGAAGAACAATGCAAGTGCTGACTTGCAAATTATTTAAGCAATTATATCATTCCAGGTACTCACCAACAGTTGAGGGGATTGCTTCCTTTCTCAGCATAATCTAGACAAGGAAGCTTTGCAAACGTATAATGTAACGGGAGACCTGCAATTGCTATTTCACTAATCAATTAAAAAGCTCTTCAGATTAAAGACTTTTTTCTTAAAGTGTTTCCAGCAGCCGCCTGCAGATTAAACTCTAGTAATCCTCCAGTCATTACATCATGCCTTAAATCGAATAGATCGCAGATGTTGAACATGCTACCCAACAAAATAAAAAACTACTTCCAAAACAGCAGCAGTTGGGACATATTGTCAGGAATGAAGTAATTAGCTATTTAGCATTTCACTACTTCTTTTGAAAAATAAAACAGCAATGTATGAATTAAGCTCACCAAACTGAATTTGGTATTCTAAACCTCTTTACAGTTAAACCAACTACACAATTCAGCGAAATATTTTTATGTGTATTCACTTTGGATAAAACTTAATGTAAAGCAATATAGTTAGACAGCAACAAAAATTTGAGAATTCTGGAGCTGAAATGGCAGCTACTAGTAAGTCTGCAGCTTAAGGCATTGTGGATCAGTACTTCATTTTTGGACCTCCTGCTCAAACTCCCAATACTGCAAGTTTATAAAACTGTCCAGATTTTTGCCAAGAAATATTATGGAGAAAACAGCATCAGTCCATTACATCTGTGCTGGCTCTATGATGATGCTTTCCGTTAAGGACTTATTGAAGCAACCATGATGATTATTATGTATAGGCTCTACCTTAAGCTACTCCAGCAATGATGTGCTGGGATCAACAACTTAAACCATTTTTCGTTGGGTCAGGTCTAATTCTAAACAGGACAGATTTGTCCTCAGCCCTAGCATCACTAACTCTCAATCAAAACTCAGGACAGTGTCCTAGGCCCATCCACCTTCAGCTATCATCTTCCCTCTAAGATCTGAGGTGGGGATTCTTGCTGAGGATTACACAACGTTCAGGCACATTTGCAACTCCAGGGACTGAGGCAGTCATGTCCAGATACAGCAACACCTGGACACATTCTGATTTGGAAGGTAAGTAGCAAGTAACATTCATATCACAAATGTCAGGATGTGACAACCTCCAAAAAAGAGAGAATCCAAACATCACCCCACACCATTAAATGCTATTACCACCACTGAATGTTCCACTATCAACTTCCCCAACATTATCACTGATGAGAAACTGAACTGGATCAGCTTTATAAATGCAATGGTTCCAAGAGCAGATCAGAAACTGGAAATTTTGTGCCAAGTTCTAGTGCCCTAAAACCTGTCCACCATCTACTAGGGACAGCAGTGCAATGGAATACTCTCCACTCCTTTTGACGTACGCAACTCAATTCCATATGATAATGATGAAAACTGGTCAACTTTCCCCTCACAGCTGATTAATCAATTTTATGTAGCAGTAGTCTGACCCCAGTGGCAGTACTGTGACCCAGTTCTGGGTGTCACACTGTTGAAAGGTTGTGAAGACTTTGAATAAGGCGCAGAGGAGATTGATGAGACTGGTACAAACAACAAAGAACAAAGAAAATTACAGCACAGAAGCAGGCCCTTCGGCCCTCTAAGCCTGCACCGATCCAGATCCTCTATCTGAACCGGTCACCTATTTTCCATGGATCTGTATCCCTCTGCTCCCTGCCCATTCATGTATCTGTCTAGATACATCTTAAATGACGCTATCATGCCCACCTCTACCACCTCCGCTGGCAACGTGTTCCAGGCACCCACCACCCTCTGCGTAAAGAACTTTCCGCGCATATCTCCCTTAAACTTTTCCCCTCTTACCTTGAAACCGTGACCCCTAGTAATTGAGTCCCCCACTCTGGGAATAAGAAACAAGGTGGGGAGGGAATAGAACAAGGTGGAGGTACTGGAGATGGCAGCAAAGGCAACTGGCCAAGCAGCGCTCCGGGGCTCCTGAGCCTGTCTGCTCCTCAGGACCAGGCCAGCCACGTCTTTCTTTCTCCTTTTCTGTTCCATCTTTTCTTTCTACTTTTCAGCAGCAACGACTAAAGGTGGCAGCGTGGGGCGGCCGGCAGCGAGAGCAGCAACAAAAACAGGCTGTAAGGTGGCGGGAGCAGGCTGGATTGTTTGGGTGGGAGCGGGTTAACCCTCCGCAGAGGGTGAGCTCAGTGTGGCCAGGTGTTTGAGGACTGTGGTGTTGAACAGCTGTGTTTCTTTGTTGTACTTTTTGGTAAAAAGCACTGTCATATTTAACCTTCTTTAAAAAAAAACAAACACTTTGTTGCTCTCATTTTTCTGATTCATACCAAAGATGGCAACGTAACAGGCCTCTTGTAAACTTTTCACCGTTCTCAGGTTTATTGTCACACGTACTCACATTATTCAATCAACCAGGAGAAAGCAGCCCCACTTGATTAGCACATCAAATACATTCAACGTTCACTCCACCATCACCACCAATATACAGTGTGGAACATCTACAAACCGCACTACAACAACTCACCAAGGTTCCTTTGAAAACACCTTCAAAATCTAAGGCCGCTCTACAACAGTGCTGTGTGTGTACCTACATCACAAGGGAAGGGAAGTGTTCAAGAAGGCAGTTCTTCTCCTTTTTGGAGATTTTCCAAAATCAACCCGCTCAGAGATATTACACACCGCTTGAAGCCAGGGCTCCTGGCTCAAAAGGCAGTGACACCACCACTGTGCCACAAGAGGCCCTGGATCTGACCTTTGAAAGGGCAATTAGGAATGAGCAACAAAGTTGGCCTAGCCAGAGAAGTCCACACCCAATAATAAATAAAATTCCCCTGCTCATTCTCCAAAACATGCATTTTTATCCTTCTGTATTCACTCAATTATCTCTTGAGCATTACTACTCAATCTGCTTCTGCCACCCTTATGTTACCTCCAATTTTTTTCCTCAGCTCAACTATAAATTGGTGTATTCTGATTACTGACACTACTGCCCTGGTGTTGCGACTGTCAGGTTTTATTAAATGATATTTTGGGCCCTCCTTAATAAAAAGGTAAAATGAAGACAATCATGTGATCTGTTATCATTTCTATGCAATAACATGCCTGTATGGCATGATGGGGGGAAAGGGGGTGAAGGTGGGGGCTGGAGAAGACTAATTGCGAGCAAGTTGCAAAATGTTCATACCACAAAGCAAAAGGAAAGCTCGTTTTTATTGTGGTCAGATGTTCATTCACTGGAATTTTGGTCAGTGGGAAACAGCTCCCCTGGGAAAAAGATAGCTGCTCATTTGGTCTGGAAAGCTGGTGGTCCTCTTCAAAATATCCGGCAAAACATAGGAAGCAGTACGGTTCCTGTGTGAAGAGACAAATCCTACGGCAAATTAAAGATTTGTCCTGGATGGGCTGCGACGCATAAATCAAAGAGGATCGTGTTGCAGATGGTCAGTGCAAGGATTCACCAAAAACTGAGGGAAACATCTTTCGACAGTGACTGAACAATAATAGAGCTCAGCGTAAAGGGAATGAGTGTGGACAGTTTCAGACAACAACTGCTGAGAGGGGATTGTAATGTGTACAGGGGATTCTTTGACAAATTAAACACCAAATCAGGGGTTTTTACATCAAAAACTGGGAGTACAAACAGGAATGTGACAGCAGCATTTGAAAAAAAAACTTACAAGGCAAAATGGGTACTCCAAGGATAAATTACGTAAACCAAATCAGAACCAACCATTCCATAAAGCATAACACAAGCTTGAAGACCAGCGCCTCATCAGTCAAATGGTAATGTTCCAGATTCAAGTCAACTTGAACAATTTCACATCAATCTCAACCCTTCATCATTCCTTGACCCACCTTGGTTATTTTCCTTTGCAGCTTTTGATCTTCATCTGGTTTTTCCTCATATGCTTTCACACAGCAGCTGTTCAGTATTCTGCTATTCACATCTCCTCTGTACCCATCTCGCGTTTATTTATTTTTGTCCCATCACTTCTCCCCGTTTTTCTGCCCCACCATAGCACTTATGATTCTCTTGACTTCCACCCCATTCTGACTCCGACCCTTGGATTTGTTTCTACATCCTCCCCGTTTAACATACAAGTTGCTGCATTGTTTTTACCTTTTAAAAAAAAAGACTTTTCCCCCTGTTATGATAAAAAGACCACACAATCTGAAATTTTAACACTGTTCCTCTCCTAAAATGCTGCCAGGACCGCTGAATATTTCTAAAGAAGGGGGTTCTGAAGGGTCACTGCACAAGAAACGTTCACTCTGCTTTCTCTCCACAGATGCTGCCAGACCTGCTGATTCTTTTCCAGCAAAATCTATCCTTGTTGCTGCTGAATATTTCATTTTTTTTTGTAAGTCTTCCTTTCTGGTAGAGGGAGCCATTTTTGATACTTTACGTAAGAAATGTGGCAGATGAATCTGCCATTGCAAGCACGCAATGTTAAGGCTTTCGTTACTAAACAGTAGCACTGCATTAAACATATTGTATGCACAAATTTTGAGCAGGGAAAGGCTGTCTGTCACCCTACGCATCAGTTTTCAAGCATGTTCTGGTTTGCAACTGCGACAATGATTACTGAAACTAATTCATACCACATCAGTGCTCATATGCTACAACATGATTTAATTTCCCTCTTTGCCTTTGTTACATTTCCAAATTAACAAGAGACAGTGCTGAACTAATGATGCAATATCAACCAGAGCACAATTCTCTTTGCAAATAGTCCACGTTAATGACCCTCGAAAGCTACAATTCCTGACAAAATTCAGAGCAGAAGCCAACTTAATGCAAACAACAGGACTGCCTTCGAGTGCGACATATAAACAAAATCAAAACCTGGATCAAAACTTGACCTAATGTGCCTGTGCTTTCACACATGACAACATCGAACAGTCCTCAAAAATATTATCCATGGTCTACACTCCATTCGGAATCCATTACCTTATTTAATGTTGAGCTGCACACTTGTGAAACGTATCACAGTTATTGACTGAAGTGAAACGATGGGGAATTATTTTGGCGCACATTTTGTGGCAATACTGGGAACACAACTTCCTGTGAATGCTGTAGTAAAATTGACAGTTTCTGAAGTCCACGTGAGCACAAAATAGTAGGAAAATCCAGCAGATACTGTCAATGATTCCACCAGAGTGTGCCCCAACCCAACTGCAATTATAGAACTAATGGGAACTTCAAGTCTTACACTGTTATTCTTGCTATAAAATCACGTGAACAGTTACCTCATTGAGCTGGACATAACTAGATTTTTGGAGGCTTACCAACTTCATAATCTATTGAAAAATACTTCTGGTGGCTTAAAAACAATTTTTTTTTTTGCAGAATATCAAATTTCTCCATAATCATCGATAAACTTTTGATGAAAGTCGCTCACCACTATCTGAAAGTCATTTCCAAGAAGGGTTCCAGGAATAAGAAACTTCAGTTAGGATGATAGATTGAAGAAGCTGGAATTCTTCTCCTTTGGGCGAAGGCAACTAAGAGAAGATCTGATAGATATTTTCAAAATCATGAGCTGGCTGGATACAGTAGATAGGGAGAAGCTGCTCAGGCTCAAAACACAAAAAAGTGTGTACTTGGAGTGTGCACACAATGACGTGAAGTAAAAACAAATTATTTCACAGCAAGTATTAGGGTATGGAATGCACTACCTGGAAATGTGATGGAAACAGGTTCAGTTGAGGCATTCTATAGGGCATTTGGTGTTTATCTGGAAAGAAATAACATGCAAAGGAATGGGGAAAAAGCAGGAAATTGGTACTGGGTAATGATACTCATTTGAAGAGCCAGTACAGGCACAATAGGCTTAATATCCTTCTGCACAGTAACAATTGTGTGTTCCGCTCCAATTCTAACTGCATTCCTTTTAGAACTACTACTGCTGAGCCCCTTTTGAACCGTAGATTGCTATATGAAAGAGAGTGGTCTAAATGGCTAAATACATACTTCACAATTCAAAATATGTGCACATCATATTGTTAATCCATTTTACATTGCCTTGCACAGCTTGGGCCTTCTCCACTTACAAACATTTCGGAATGCCAGTCACCATTTCATTCAAATAAAAAAATGAATAAAAAGAAATTCTTCGATAACGTACTCAAAATGATATCAACCTTTCATTTATTCTCTCAAATCTTTTCCTTGGATGCTGCATTCCCACATCTGGTAGGCACTATTTTAAAAACTTTCACAAATTGGGACCGAAAAGCAATTCATGTTTGTCCAGCACCTTTAAAATAGCATAAAAATATCCAGAGACCTTTTACAAAAGGTAGTTGCTTTGTTCCTCAGGCAGAAGACCAAAAATAGGATCCAAGTAGATCTGAAAGTGCATCTTAAGACAGACAGAGGATTGGAGTCGGAAAGGAGGAGCATCCAGCATGTACATCTTTGGCGCAGACGACGCTAGGTCACTAATATTGCAGTGAGTAAAGTTGGGATTGCACAAGCAGCCAGAACTGGACGACCACAGCGAGAGTACAACATTCAATGGAAGTGCTGGCAACCAGCAGAGTTGTACAAAGCAGCCTATACCTACTCAATCTCAACGTGCTCCATACAGAGCTAAACCACAGGAAGGACATCCACACAAACTTCAATCAGCATTACTATAAAAGGGTATCAAACTACTTACAAGCAGGTTTCTGGATTATTTATTGTGGTTGCCTGTGTATTTCTACACGTTTTGGCAAACTTTTCACATTTGCCTAATATTGCCTCGTATCTAACGCCTCTCAATCATGCTGAAAAGCGTTTTTCAGGATACTTAAAAGACTTAAGCTGAAAGTAGGTGTTGCGAGAGATGGGTAGCAGATACCTAACAGAGCATTTTTGATGAGGTACAGTGCTGATAATATAGTTGAAGCGTTGCCTATGGATTTTCAAAAAGTATTTGATAAATGTGTTTGTCAGCCGAGTTATGCCTACATAAAGAGACTGCAATTGCATAAATACCAAGCTGGCAGAGTGACAGGAATCAATATTGCTGAATGGTTGCTTTTGGAATGGAAGTAAGTGGAGGCCCTCAGGAGGTTAGCAGTAGATCCACAGCTTTTCTTCTCCTGTATTAATGACTTGGATTCAGATGGACAGTGAACAGTTTTGTAATTTGTGGATAACACCAATCTTGGTGTATTGAGCTGCATGGAGAATAACAGAGGGCGATGGATGACAAAAATGAAATCCAATACAGAGAAGGTGACGTTATATTTTGATCGGAAGACAGGAAGAAATGAAAAATAAAAGGACACAATGTAAAAAGTGGAGGGGGCAAGGGGGAAAAGTGATCATAGGCCAGTGGTGGGGAGTACACGTGCACACTTCAGTGAAGGCAGCAAGGCAGGCGGAGTAAACTATTAAAAAGGCATGCAGGATCTTGGCTTTCATAAAGAGACAGAAAATGAAAGTAAGGAAGAAATGCTGAACCTTCAGAAAAGTATTCTAACAACGTCAACTTTAGTGCAGTGCATTATTATAAATTCTGAGCATGGCAGTTCAGGAAGAATATGAAGGCTTGAGAGGAGCTGAAAACAAGGTTTGGAAAAAATGACTCAAGGAGTGTGGGACTACAGTTGTATGGATAGATTGAAGCAACTGAAGTTGTTCTCCATGGAAAAGGTTGAGTCTGCATTTGATAGAGTCGTTCAAAATCACGAGGGGTTCAGACCTAGTACACAAAAAGAAACTGTTTCCATTAGTGGAAGGTTCAAGAACGGTTTGAAGGCAATTGAAGGAAACAATGATAACAGGAGGATACATATATAAATATACAGACACGTAGCAAGTGGTTTGTAACTGGAATTTACTGCCCTAGAGCATGATGGAGGTTGATTCAATTGTAGCTTTCAAAGTGGAATTGGATAATTACCTGAAGAATATATTTTTGCAGCATTACATGGAAAAGACCAGACGAACCGAACTGAGCTAACTACACTCTTTTATAGGTCTCACAGGGACACAGCATGCTGAATGGCCTCATTCCCCAGTGTAAGCATTCTACGTTTCAATAACCTTGGAGAAATGAGGCTGCAGGTGGCTACAGAGAGGGGAGGAGTCAGGCCATGCAAGAAATTGAAAATTAAAAAAAAAAAAAAAAAATGCGTAACTAACTTGGAAGATATGGTATATGATAGTAACAGGGGAAACTGAACTTGGTGGGAATTAGGAATGGACAACTTTGGAGGAGTTAACTTGGTTAAGTTTATGAAAGTTACAAATATGGAAGGTGATGAGGAGTGTGAAGGAGTAAATTGAGTGGAGAGGTAACAAAAAGCATGGAGTGTCTATGTAAAAGAATCCAAAATACATGTATCATCTACCTTCTTCCATCTCTAACAAATTATTAAAGTTGCAAGGTGCAACTTCAGAAAAGGTCAAACAATACCAAGCATTAAGATATTGGACTGCAGTGTGTTAAGAGACACATTTATATCCACAATTTAGCAAAAAGCCTTCCCAATGCAAATTGGTAGCAAGGAACATATACTCATCTTGCAGAGTTTTGTTTTAAATTTAAAAACTGCACACACCTTAAAAAGAAAAAGGCAGAATTGCAGGATAAGTCACTAGTCTGAAGCATAGCCAGTTGTGAGACCCAACAAAGAAAGTAAATCCTGTATAAAACCAGAGGAACCTACATGACTGGACTGATAATTGATCATACTTTAGTACTGTAGTCCAGTGACACTCCATCAGGCTTTGGTTGAATTTAATGGGAGGATGATGCCATGGGAAGATCACATGACGTGGGGCAGGACAGTGGCTCAGTGGTTAGCACTGTTGCCTCACAGCGGCAGGGACCCAGGTTCGATTCCACCCTCGGGCGACTGTCTGTGTGGGTTTCGTCCAGGTGCTCCGGTTTCCTCCCACAGTCCAAAGATATGTAGGTTAGGTGGATTGGCCATACTAAAATTGCCTGTAGTGTTTCAGGGATGTGCAGCTTACGTGGGTTATAGGGGAATGGTTCTGGGTGGGATGCTCCAAGGGTCGGTGTGGGCTTGTTGGGCCGAAGGGCCTTTTTCCAAATTGTAGCGATTCTATGATTCTATGATCCTAATGGTGGTGCTGGTCAATGCATTTTGTAGTTAGGGAGGGAATAAATAAGTTAATGAGAGGGGTAAGGAATTGACATGAAATCATTACAATAAAGTTTTCTACAAAATAATATCAAAATGTTCCATGATTGCAGTGGAAGGACTGCATTTGTTCAACATATTTTTAGTCATATTTAAAACCATGGTATCACTTGTGAAACACTTCCACTTTTGTTTTCATTCCGCAGTGGTATAATCTACTTAGGTTCAGACAATCAACAGACATAATGGTCAAATATATTCCCTTCAACTGGAACAAAATTTTGGCGTGGCTGGTGTCCATCTCATTACAAGAGATTTTAAAGAAGTTAGGATATCAAAAGATTCCCTCAGCAAGATTAGTATTGGCAGCCACATGAAGCAAAAAGGCAGCATAAACAAACAAACAAGTCAGTCAATTCACGATCATCTAATTACCTTTTGCTAGTCAGCTGAATTCTTGACCAATACAGAGGCTTCATTGGACGAGTTGGATCAATTGGAACCTTCCTTGGCGAAGAATCTTTAGTCATTCCCAAAGCAAGAAATCCAGCTGGAAGAGGCGGAGGAAGAAAACCACAGCCTGGAGGGGGGAAGGATGGTGCTGGGGGAGGGAGAGAAATCTCGGATCCAGGCAGAGGAGGGGGAGGGGGAGGCAGGAATGCAGATCCCGGCAGAGGAGGAGGAGGAGGAGGAGGGGGATGGGGGAACTCTGATCCGGGG